TGAAAGGTGGGGCCCATTTTCTCATGGAACTTAAAATGAATTGAGGAGAGGAGGCCAGAAGTTCCCAGGTGGTCGCCTGCCCACAGTGCCACAGGGTGGTCGGAAGTCTTCTTCACTAGTCCACGAATAAACAAGAAGGAAGACAAGTGAGCTGTGCTGATAGAGTAAGGACAGTCTTGGGTTGCTTGTTTTGTTTTTGCTTTGAAGAAGATCACAGTTCAGGACATACAAAAGGGAGTGTGGTGTAATAGTCTTCTTCACACCTCTGTCCCCCAGGTGCCCAGTGTCTCTCCCCAGGAGCAACAACCTCTAGAAGATTCTAGAGGATCTAGATTCCTCTAGATTCTAGAGGATCAGGACAGCTCTTTACCTGAGATTATATCTTTCCTACTATTGGGGGTGTTAAAATGTCCTTTTCTATGTGAAATGATAAAGGTGTTTGATGATTGCTTTGTTTGTTTCTAACGTCCTGACTAGAGAAAAGAAGGATGGGAGGAAAGAAGGAAGGGAGGGAGGAAGGGACAGAGGCAGGGAAGGAAAGGAGAGAGGGATGGAGGAAGGGAGGAAAGTTGTCAGCTCCACATTCATTCTCTAAATATATTTTAGCAAAGTCGCTAAATGGTTGTTGTGTTTAGGTGGCTGTGGACTTGGGTCCAAGACTTGAGGTCTCTGCCCCTTCTGCAATGGGTGGCTCCGGACAAGTCCCTGCCCCTTAGTGGCCTCTGCAGCCCTCCAGGGAGAAATGAAATGGTTCCCTCCTGCTCAGACAAGCTGCTCTGTCAAGTGCCAAGGATGGGAGGCAGCAAGGCCTAGAAGGGTGGGTCTGCTGGAGCAGGGAGACCCAGGCTTTGGGACAGGACAAAGGACACCTGGGGGAGCAAAGGCACAGAGCAGGTATTGTCCAGTCCCTCCAGGGGTAGACTAGAGAGCAAGAAAAATGGGGCTGGGAAGGACTCAGTCAGATAAGTGGCCCCCCACTCGGCAGTGGGGCAGCGAGGTGGACCTGCGGGTGCTTAGCAGGGCTCTAAACAGATGGGAACTTGCTTGGAAGGGAAATTTTGTCCCCACAAGTATGCAAGGGACTGTCTCACTCCAGCGGATGCCGCCTGACAGCTCTTATCAAGGGGCCACTGCTTCTGCCTGCCAGGGCCTCCTCCGCTCCTGCTGCCACCCCCGGGCTGCTGCAGCAAAGAGCTATCTGGGGGAAGCAGAAGAAACTTGGGGGCATAAATTTAGTGCAGTTTAAGCAGCAGGTTCCCAGAGCCCAGCGTCCGGGGACTCACTCAACCCAGGAAGGGAAGTGACTCACTTCACCCAGGAAGCCCTAGGAAATGGCCATGCCAGGCAGCTACATTTTGTAACCATGAAGAAAGGCGGCATCACATCAAATACAAATCAGCCAATGCAGATAAAACACAGTGAGCACCTCACACCCAGCAGGCTATGGGCTGCAGTAGGTGGTGACCAGAGCAGGTCCCAGAGGCTCAGCTGGCTCATGGGCTTGACCATACCTGTAGAAAACAACACCCCTCAGCCGGCACCTCTTTCCCCGCAGGCCTGGGCCAGTGATGTTCTGCAGAGAAAGTTGCCCCAGCTGCCAAGGCTACCCTGCAGCCGGGTTGTTAAAACAAAGACATTAAACTGCTATGCAAACTGTCATCTTTAAATAAAACAAGCCCAGCCATAAACTTAAAACTGTTCCCAAGGGTTTAATGGGATCCTGCATGACAGGCCCGAGGGGAAGGCCGATGCCTGCCTGGCAGGGTGGGAATTCCCCTGAGAGGTCACCCCTGGGTGCAGCTGCAGGGGTAGGGAGTCGGGTGGCTTCAGCTTGGCATCTCAGATGGGCATCTTTCAGTTACCAACAATGCAAGGTTGATAACTGGGCAGGGTGAGTGGACAGAACGCTGTTGGGGGACCCTCACATTTCACTGGCCTGAGAATTCCCTGGGGTGCTTATCAAAGATGCACCTAACCCTCCCACCTCCCTACCGTCCCCAAGATTGAACCAGTGGGTCTGGGCGAGGCCTGAGAAGCTGGATTTTATCCAGGCCCTCCTGAACCCACAGGACGGGTGGAACACACTTTGAGAAACCTCAGGAAGAAGAATAAGGAAATCCCACTCTGAACCTTGGAAGGAGGGGTTAGGAACTCCAAATCCTCCGCAGAAAGACAGTGTCTCCAGTGAGATTTTGCTGAAAGGTAGGAAAAGTGTAAAATAGAAAGTGCTGGGGGAGGCAGGACCACAACCAGGTCCAAATCAGGGGTCCTGCAGGAGCACCTCCGGCTTTTGTGGAGCCTGAAGTTTATACAATTTGAGAATCCTCCTTAAGAAAAATATTTCAAAATTACAAAAAAAAAAAAAAAAAATCAGTACATGGTCCCAAAAATCACTTGGCTGTCTTCTCAGTACCTCCGCCCCCAGGCCCAAACGACCCCTTTCTCACTAGGCTTCTTCTTTGCCCACGGCTTGGTGGTGATGACCAGTCAGGTAAGAACTTCTGTTATTTTCCATAATGGGGAAAGACCCTAGACCTACAATTCCAAAGAAAATCAGGCTATTGGAGTCGAGGCATCCAGTACCAATCCACGATGTTTAGTAGCCAATCTTCCTTCCTTCCTTCCTTCCTTCCTTCCTTCCTTCCTTCCTTCCTTCCTTCCTTTTCTTTGAGTCTCACTCTGTCACCTGGGGTGAAGTGCAGTGGCACGATCTAAGCTGACCATGGCCTTAACCTCCCAGGCTCAAGCCATCCTCTCATCTCAGCCATCTAAGGAGCTGGGACTATAGGCACGCACCACCATGCCTGGCTAATTTTTTTATTTTTTATTTTTGTAGAGATGGGGTTTTGCCACGTTTCCCAGGCTTATCTGGAACTCCTGAGCTCAAGCAATTCTCCTGCTTCAGCCTCCCAAAGTACTGGGATCATAGGTGTGAGCCACTGCGCTCGGCCTGAGACTACCTTTTTATCTGTGATGTAACCACATTTCATGAGGCTTAAAATTTGTTGCCCTGAAACAATTTATTCCCTAAAACTGCATTCAGCCTTTTTGGGGTACAACATGGTTACATGCAAAATCACCCCAAATCCATGTATCTCCCAGGATACAATTGTTGTATTTGTCAGTCTTCAACCCAAAAGTAATCTAAAGTAATAAGTAACGTGTACAGGGCTATTCATAGCAGCTCTATTTATAACAGACAAAAGGGAGAAAAACTAATAATTATTACACATTTATTGAGTGCCACACATTGTATTAGGGGCTTCATATGGTTTTGAGTATTTAACCCCATAATCCCATGAAACCCACTTTGCAGATGGAGAAAGTGATTCAGAGGTGTGCTGGACATCAGCTCTCCTGAGTCAAAATGAAGCCTTCATTTTTAGCTTTGTTGATTTTCATGATGTAAATATCCCATCATAACTACTTTCAAGCTACCTAAGGTTTAGCAACCAGTTCCCAAACTTTTTGAATATTTAGTAACTGGCTCTTGCAATCCAGTTTGAGCCAGTTCCAGCACATCATTGAAACGGAGGCACAGAAAGATTAGGTAATTTGCCCAGTGTTGCTGAATGACAGAGTCAAGGTTAGAACCAAAAGTTTAATTCAAGTCCAGGCTCTGAGCAGCACTCCACAGGCCTGTGCCAACCACAGAGAATAGTTAACATTAACACCCACAAGGGAATTCTTTGACTCACATGCAACACAAAAAGGTTTACATGACCACTAACGCTAATGGAGCACTTAGTACGTGCCCGACAACAATGTAAGATCATTACAACAACCCTACGAAATTCTACATATTAAATACAATAATTTGCAAAACTTGATGGATGGAGACAGGTTCCAATTAAGTGCTTAAAAAGGCGAGTAGCTACTGTTATTCCCATTTTGCAGACCCTTATTCTGCAGAGAGGTCCCACGGCTGGTGAATATGGCGAAGGTGAGATTCGGATCTAGCCAGTCTGGTCCTAGTCTCTAAACCACAATGTCCCTCATAAAATATCAGGTAGCAGAAAGGAAATGCACCAACGTGTTCCGACTCTGAGCGCCAAGCAGAAGTGAATCTTGGCGTGGGAAGCCCGGCAAAGCCTCTGAATTCCAGAGTCAGGAGAACCTGGGTTTGAAAGCCTCCCCATCACCTGCTGGGTGTGACTGGGGCAAGTTACCTAACAGCGCCTGGCTTCCGTTCACTTCTCGCGTACCAGGTTGTCCTAGGGGTGAAGGGAGAGTTCACCCAACGCGGTGGACAAAGCCCTTGGCGCACCCGAAGGCCTGTACAGGTCGTAGCTATTGTGATCAGCCAAAGGGTAGAAGGACCAGAATTAAGGGCATGGCTCCACCTTCACCGTGGGGTCTTTGTCCTATCAAGTTGCCCCAGACCGTGGCTCAGGCTGGCCTAGAGTGACAGCCAAGGCGAATCCTTCGTCACGTCAGAACTTCGCTGGCACGGACCGCAGAGGTGCCCTTCTCCATCCTGGGGTTCCGCCACCCTCGCGACCGCACCTTTCGGCTCCTTGCGGCAGAAGTGAAGGCCCTCGGCGCCCCAGGCCCAGGCGCCCAGTCGGATGCTCGGGTCCAGCCGTGCTCCCCCGGGCGCTCGGCACCCTTCCACCCACGCCCGCAGCGGAGGCGGAGAGGGCCACTGAGGGAGAAGCCCGCGCGCCGTTCTGCTTTCAGAATCTGGAGCCCCATGTCACTTCCAAAGTTTGGGGAATTTGGGCGCTCCTTTTTCTCCCAGACCATCACTAAAAAGAAAACTGCGGCTGTTCCTCTTTCAGCCAAACTTCCTCCCCGGGGCGCCCGGAGGAGCTCTGCGCTCCCGTCGCAGCTGGGACAGCGAAGGTGCGGGACCCAGCGGGGAGAAGTGGTGCGGTCGGCCCGGGCTCCAGTCTAGGAGGTACCGCCGAGCCGCGCCCGAGCACAGGAGGGAGGGCAGGAGGCCGGGCGGGCGAAGCGGCGCCCCGACCCCCAGCCCGCGGGCCCCTGGAGCCGCTTACCTGACGGTGGCCGCTTCCTGCTCAGCCGGCTCACGGCGCGGTTGAACATCGCCGCGGGCGCCCGGGGAGGAAGCAGGAGCAACCCGGCGGCGCGGCGGCTGAGCCGGAGGAAGGCGAGGAGGAGGAGGAGGGCGAGGAGGAGGAGGAGGGCAAGGAGGAGGAGCGGGCTCAGCACCGCCCCGGAGCGCTAGGTCCCCGCCCGCCGCCCTCCTCCTAGCCAGGCGCCGCGTGGCGCGCTCCGTGCGCCCTGCCCGCCCCCGCCGGTGGGGACTAGCGGTTCCGCTCCGGGGTGCCCGGGCGGGGCAGGGCAGCCCCGGGTGACCCCCGATCGCCGGGAGTCTGTCCTGCGCCTGGGATGGGGTGCACTGGCCCAGAGGGAGCCCGCGTCGCCGGGAACTTAGTAGCCCAGCAGAGGCAGTTAGCGCGTCCCGGGATCCCTGGCCCTCGCCTGAGAAGCCGTTCGGCCGGCCCCGCCCAGCTTCAAGCTCCTGCGCCCATCGCGGTCTCCCGCCTTCTCCCTGCAGCCCCGGAGAAACGGGCACGGCGTCGCGGGCGCACCGCGCTTCGGGGCTCTCAGCGAGCCTTCGCGGGTGGCAGGCGGGGTCCCCTCCTGGGTCACAGGCCGGGAAGCCGAGGCCTCGCTGTTCTGCAGAGTTCAGGCGCGACCCAGCCCGTGGCCTTTGCCTCCTCGTCACCAGGATCCCCGCCTGCCGGGGCCTGGCTGCTCCCCGACTTCGTGGGCGCTGCCCCTTCCCGCCCCGCGAATGCGTGTGGGGCGTCCCCAAGGCCGGTGCGCCGAGCTAGCCGAGCCGCCGCGGGTGGGCGCCCTCTCCCCTGGCTGTGCCGCGCGGGCGCCAGGACTCGGGGAGACCTGAGAGAATTCCGCAGGAACACCCCGCTTCCAGCGCCGGGCGGTGCTCTGTCCGGCATACCGCGCTCTCGGGACACTTCTTGAACTTTGGGGACACGTGGGCACAGCCTCTGGCAGGGCCTTCAGGCTCCACGACCGGGACCACTCAGGCCCCCACGGCGTCACCTGCTGGGCGCTGCGCGCTCCACGGTCTCCTATTATTTCATTTCTTCTACGGAGCAGCCCCAGCGGGGATGTCATTAGCCCCCATTTTCTTGAACATTTGGTTTGCAAGAAATTGTCTTTCTGGCGAGTTTTATTTTTCTCCTTGTGTATCTGGCTTTGTCTCTAAATTGGTCTTTATTTTTAGCTGTACTAATTGCTATTTTTCTAAACTGTTCCCCAGTCGCCCTCCCCCCCACCCCCCGTCCTTTTGCAGTTTTTTTCACTACTTGGCACTTTCTTTTGTATCTTCTATTCTGAGCTTCCAGTTCTGCTCACTTTCCCTCTCCGTCTACCCACCCCACAGCCCCAGTTGCACCCCAAGTGTGTCCGGTGGCTGCTTCTTGTTTTGCTCTCCGCTATTCCCCCTTAAAAGTCGTTTTCCTCAGGGCATTTCCAAGCACTCTCCCACTTCTGCCACAAGAGGATTTCCAGGCTCCTGAAGCGAACGCGGTGACCAAGAACAGGGTTAGACGCAGCGGGGGGCGTTCTGCTTTTAAAACTGCTGTTGTTGGCCTGCTCCGGGCCCAGACAAACTTCCATCTCATTGTAATGGGATCAAGCTGTGATACTTAACTATAGGCAAGAGTTTCACCTTTCGTAAGAGCAGGATTTTAAATGCTGGCAGAGTCCTGGATCCAAGTGAGGTCACTGCATTCTTGTAACAATAACAAGGGAATTGGTGCAACGCACCCACCCAGAAAACTTCCCCGAGACGAAATTACAAGTAATCCTAACACAGGAAATAAGCACACTGGCACACAGGGGTAAAAGTTAGGCACAGCAGCTCAATGTTATGCTAGTCGCCAAGTCTACCCTAGCGTGTCCTGAAAAACACTAGTGTGGCTTAAGACATGCTATGAATCCCTCCTGAGCTGAGAACCCCAGGCATCTCTTAAATAAAGGGAAAATATAGCAGCCTTAAATCACTTTTACTGTCCTGTTAGCACATCAGACAGTAAGTACAAAAATTAAGATGCATAGTTAGGGCCGGACGCTGTGGCTGACATCTGTAATCCCAGCACTTTGGGAGGTGGAGGCAGGCGGATTGCCTGAGGTCAGGAGTTCAAGACCAGCCTGGCTAACATGGTGAAGCCCCATCTCTACTAAAAATACAAAAATTAGCCAGGCCTGGTGGCAGGCACCTGTAATCCCAGCTACTTAGGAGGCTGAGGCAGAAGAATCACTTGAGCCCGGGAGGAGGAGGTTGCAGTAAGCCAAGATCTGGAGGAGGAAGTTGCAGTGAGCCGAGATCTCACCACTGCACTCCAGCCTGGGTGACAGAGCAAGACTCTGTCTCCAAAAAAAGGGAAAAAAGGCGGGGCGCCGTGGCTCATGCCTGTAATCCTAGCACTTTGGGAGGCCAAGGCAGGCCGATCACCTGAGGTCAGGAGTTCAAGACCAGCCTGACCAACATGGTGAAACCTCATCTCTACTAAAAACACAAAATTAGCTAGGCGTAGTAGCAGGTGTCCATAATCCCAGCTACTCGGGAGGCTGAGGCAGGAGAATTGCTTGAACCCAGGAGGCAGAGGTTGCAGTGAACTGAGCTCGAGCCATTGCACTCCAGCCTGGGCGACTGAGCAACACTCCATCTCAAAAAAAAAAAAAAAAAAAAAAAAAAAAATGCATGGTTAACGTTTAATGTACACAGTTTAAAATTTTTGCCTGGGACATTGAAAGATTGTCCTCATGAAATTGCTGTAAATAACTGTTTTAAGTTTCTAAAGGTTCAAAAGCCAGTTTTCGAAGTGCACTGTGCAAAAAAAAACACGTATAAAAATATAAAGCCTCCTAACTCCTAAAACTTGCCAAACACGCACATACACACACACACAGGCACACACACACGATTAAGTTCCAACCATGATTTGCATTAGATTGAAGGTGCTCACCATCCAAATGGCATTTTTCCTGTAAGTCCAGCATGCACTTTCTGAAGCTTTTTTTTTTTTTTTTTTTTTTTTTGTAGACACAAGGGTCTCACTACGTTGTCCAGGCTGATTTCTGACTTCTGGGCTCTCAAGTGATCTTCCCTCCTTAGCCTCCTAAGTCAAGCCTTCACAAACAAACTGTGGTAGCCAGTGTGCGGAAGAAGAGGATGAGCAGTTTAGCCCCTTTCTGCCCCTGCTGGTCTCACTTTTGGTTCAAGGGCGTTCACATCGGGCAAGAAGCAAGAGACCCGGATGTCTTCTGGTAACACAAGATTTCAGAGGGATTACTGGCTTTGGAGTTCAATATGTTCATTCTACCCAGAAACTAAAAAATTGGTAAGCTGTGAGGCCGGGCGCGGTGGCTCAAGCCTGTAATCCTAGCACTTTGGGAGGCCGAGACGGGCGGATCACAAGGTCAGGAGATCGAGACCATCCTGGCTAACACAGTGAAACCCCGTCTCTACTAAAAAAATACAAAAACCTAACCGGGCGAGGTGGCGGGCGCCTGTAGTCCCAGCTACTCGGGGAGGCTGAGGCAGGAGAATGGCGTAAACCCGGGAGGCGGAGCTTGCAGTGAGCTGAGATCCGGCCACTGCACTCCAGTCTGGGTGACAAAGTGAGACTCTGTCTCAAAAAAAAAAAAAAAAAAAAAAAAAAATTGGTAAACTGTGAATACATTTTAGAGCCTCTCATCACCAGAGTTTATATAACAAGACTATTCTAGGCCAGTTGAGGCAGACAAGCTATAGTAAAATGATTAAGTGGCCAACTTAAAGTCAAGAGACCTGGGTACTAATCCTGAGCAAACAGCAACCAGCTGTGTGGACATACCAGCTGTGTCCTCAAACACATCGCAGCCTCAAGGGACAGGGCAAGGAGAGGTGCCACCTACACTCCAAGCAAGTGGTGTTTGATAGCAATAAACAAAAAAGCATCTGGCATAGTGCCCAGCACATGTAGGCACACAAAAAAATTACTGGAATTTTAATTACTCTTACTCCCCCTACAGTGATGTTTTAATAAATGATAAACTTTATCATACTGCCAGTCAAAAGTGGATTTCTTTTCAGTTATAGGAAATTGGCAGGGTTAGTAACACTGTGGTGTTCACATTGTTACTACGCTGTGAAGAAGGGAAGGTAAATTGTTGCAACTCTCTAGAAGGAAGAGAAGCAGATGTGTTAAGATATGCATTTGACAACATATGTAAGAGTCTTCAAAATGTTTATACCTCTTGGACTAGTGAATAATTCTATAACTAGTAATTTGTGCCAAAAGAAAAACAAATGATGCAAACATTTACATGTACAATTAAACAGCATAACACTTCTTTTTATCAGCGTTATTTACAGTAGCTAAAAATGCCCACTAAGAGAATGACTAAGGTATAACATACTCTTGTGATGGAATATTTAACAGTTGTAAAAAACTGTGAAAAAATCTTTGGAACTTGGTGGAAAAAACTGGTGCAAAGAGAAAAATGAAAGAATCTTAGACGAAGCTCTCATTGAAAAATCAGGATACAAATATACAGAAAATTTTCAGTGTTGAGGAAGAGGAGAATATGGTATGTTTATGCATAGCAAGCTAGCAGTTAATTACACCTAAATATTACTAGACTATATCTCTAGATGACAGGATAATGAGTTATTTTACTTTTCATCATTACATTTTCCTGTTTTGCAAACTTCTGCAGTGTATGTGCTTTTAAATCGGAGAAAAATCACTAATTAGAGACTAGTTGAAATCTCTGCTGGGTTTAATGCCACAAAAATATATAAGGCTTCATTTCTGTTGTGGTTTTGTGTTTTGTTTTTCAGAGACAGGGACTTGTTCTGTCACCCAGGCTGGAGTGTCGTGCTGTGATCATGGCTCACTGCAGCCTTGAATTCCTGAGCTCAAGCAATCCTCCTACCTCAGCTTCCTGAGTAACTAGGGCTACAGGAGTGCACCACCATACCCTGCTACTTATGTATATGTGTATGTATGTATGCATTTATTCATTCTTTTTTTATTTTTAATTTTATTTATTTATTTATTTATTTATTTATTTATTTATTGGAAATGGAGTCTCGCTCTGTCCCCCAGGCTGGAGTGCAGTGACGCAATCTCGGCTCATGGTAACCTC